GTAGTCTCTCCTTCTTAGATTTTCGGCAGCACTTCAACCATCTGAATCGTTTGGCACGGGTGACTTGTATCTTTTCATGCATGTATTTCTTGTCTGTATAAGTAGAAAGCGAGCTCCTGGAAGGAAGTTCCCTGTGGTGCTAAGCCCAATGTCTTGTGCACAACCTGGGTGTATTAATCATTGATTGACATGTGCATTTGCAGGGAAGAGTCCAGTGAGATACACTTAAAACTTTTATTCATTGATTTACAAAATATACAATATTTACAAAGTGTAGGCATTAATCCCATATCGACGTGAATGTTTCAGAGAGTCTAAAAATAAATATGTGGTACATAGGTTAATATACACATCGTAGCTCTTTACACTTCAAGCCATCACCGATGGTGAGATTTAATGGAAAGTTTAATGTGGTAGAAAAGTCAGATGGTTGAGCAGTCTTGGACTTTCCGCATGAATGGCCCTTTCTTGGCTCCTTGAGGCTGGGGAGAGTGAGCAAACAACTTTCGAGAGAATGAAACACAAGCCATTCTAACAGGCACATGGGACGCATGCAGCAACACCTGTGTGTAGAGTCTGCAAGAACTCCCTGGCTGGCTGGTGGATGACTCCACACCACTGTGGACCTCATCCCTGTTCACCAGCCAGGGAGGCTTTGGTGTGGTCACTTTCTTGTTCTTATTCAAATCACATGCAGTACTTGGAAGATGTTAGTGGAGTGTAACCATGCATAAAAAATGGGACTCATAGATCTGTACAACATCAAATTTTTAGTATCTTACAGCATCATAGGATGCACAATCAACTGTCTCCTCTTTTAGCAAGAGGGATGAATGTAGAAACCATACCCTCATTCCCTAAAGGAAAAAAAAAATTATCTGGGGACACATGCAAATAGCATCCTGCAGAAGCAGGAAGACTCGAATTCCACAAGATAAGATGAATAAATTCCCATGAAGTCAGGCCCAGAAGTTTCCTAGGGGGGTACTTCCACCTCCCTTTCCTTTGCAATCCTACCTCATCTCACATAACCTAAATCTGAAGGGAAGGGCATCGTGTTATTGAACTTCTTTGAGCCTCATTGCCTTCATTTGTAAAGTATAAATACCATCACAGTAACATTGCTTGGAGGGCTCTTGCAGGGATTGTATGACCTAACGTGTGTAAAGTGCTTAGCATAGTGCCTGGCACAGAGGACGTGCTTGATATATGTCTTGCTTTCTTTCCCTCCACTCTCCCCACCCCAAGTATAAGCAACATATTGATAAGCCTATAAAACTCTGAATTAAGGCTATTTGATACAATTTGGATTATTTTGTATCAGAGTTACTGCCGTGGGTTCATATTTGGTCCCTGAGGGGTTCTCATTTTATGAGCCAGAGACATTTTTCTGTGCGCGGCTGATGGTCTTGACAACATTGTCCTCTCTATCAGCCATGGCTCCCCTCAGTCTCAGGAAAACGTGGCCCATAACCCTGCACAGAAACTCAGACCGGTGATGGTCACCACCTGAATACTCCTGGGCTGTATCAGCCCTGAAGAAACCATGAGAAAAATCCTCGAGGCAGAGACATTACTTTTGCTTACAACATGTTAATTTTTTCAACACTGGTGCAAGTATTACAGATAGCTCTGGACAAACATATAGTACAAGTTCTACCACTGTTGAAAAATAAGTATTCTAATTTGGTCATTTTATTCAGAATAAAGACTTTTTCTTTTCAGAATATATTTTAGTTTCTAGTTATGTCATACAAAAATAAATACTGTTTAAATGATTCACAAGGAAGAAGAAAAATTGTAACTCGGGGTGCCAAAAGTAAGAAGGATGGTGAAAATTCTACCACCTGCTCCAAAAGCAATTATCTAAAAGGAACAAAAACTTCCCACTGGGTCTCCTTACTAGTCCAGCAATCACCACACTGGTCCACCTTCTCCTCCTAGCATATTGGGTCCTTTTACCCTATCCATCAAGAGAGAAATTAATATAGAACCTTCTTTTTAAAGTCACTGGGGATCTGGGGAGAGGGGCTTTTGATAGTGTGAAGCACAGATAAAGGAAGAAGCTGGCTGAGCCATTGACTGGGCTCACAAAATAAACTGGGTAGGACTAACCTCTACACACCATCCTTTCAATCTGAAATCCTCTCTCAGTCTAGATTAGTTATGCCTCAATAAAACCCCATGTCCAAAGAAAACAACCCCATCCTGCTTTGGGACTCTGGACACCACGGGCCCAGGTGGAATCCAAGATCTCATGGAACATTTTTAGGTGCCAGGTCAAGGCCAGTCTCACTAATTATAGGGAGAGGCAACAGCCAGTTTATGGAAGTTAGCTCCATGAAGTTAAGAAAATCCTTCTCCAGCCACCCCCACAAATACACCTTATCTTAAACACAGAATAAAGGGAATACGATTTCCAGCACTGAGAGAAGAATGTTGAGAAAATTAAACTGGAAAGATTGCTTACTACTCTTCCAGGGACTTGGCCAGAATTTCCCAGAAAATACTCCATTTGTTTTGAAAGTTTTAACATTCTAAAGCAATATCTAAAGTAATAGGTGAATTCATGATTGTTTTTAAACAAGTTGTTCTTTACCTTTCTCTAGAAAAACACACATCTGTGGGTGTCCATAAAATATATCCCAAACATTTCAGAGGGTCTCAAGACTTCCTGCATTTCATGCATTTATCCTTCCAGATTAAGAACCCCAGAGCTCAGTAAATGCAGATCTATTTCTTGGAGTGAAAAAAAGGTTTGTGGCATAGAACTCAGGGTCTGTATTGGGGGTAGGCTGGCTTCGATGGGTGAGACTCAAAATGACTACAGTGAAGCAATGGTTGTCCCTGTGGTAGCAGCAAAGCTTGGCTGTGTGACGGCTGAGAGTTGTGTCTCACACGTGAACTACTGTCAGGCCAATGACTCATGCATGACTATGGACCATCCAGTCACTACTATCCATGG